TAGCTGCAAATGAAGGCCATAAGTGCCTTTAAATAGGGCGCATGACCAAATATTTAGGGTTTCTGCCAACAACATGGACTCGTCGAGTCCATTCATTAATCCGAGTCATCAGTCGTGATCCTACTCGACGAGTTTAGGCGTCAACCTGTCGAGTCCCCCTTCTTAATTCAAAAGTAAATACTTAAATTGTGATACATCGAAATCCAGATGTTACATATGTACAAACAGGGGCTAGACATGGAACATCGGAGGGCAAGATCATTTTGGCATATAGCACTTCTGAAATCCAGCAACCCAAGCGGCCCTCCAAACCAGATTCCCCGTACCGCAAGTGGTTAAAAAGATATTATAACGACACTTATATAACTCATAATAATAGCCCAAATATTTATTATAAGATCCTAATAACATAATTATATTTAAATAAAAACTATATTTAAAATAGTGTAGGCATATCTTACCTACGAGGGGGTTTGGCTAGAAGCCAGGTTCTACAGGGGTAGAACTTCTGAGCCGAAATCTCTTCTTCTTGGAGCTGTCGAGCGCTCCGGGGCTTTCTTCTAATGCTAGGGGAGTTTTAGGAGGTTTAGAGTGAGTGTAGAGAGAAGAAAGAATGTGAAAGGTGTGAAGAAAATGAGGGTGGAAGAAGCTCTATTTAGAGGGTGAAATATGGCTGAACTTGATGCTACATGTCACCATCTGGTGGCAAGACTTGGGGAGAAAGCAATGGCCATGATTGTGTCACATCACCCATTTTCGTACAACACACTTCCGACTTCTAAAATTTGTAACTTTCGCATATGAGCTCCGTTTTGACATTTTTTATATCCATGCATAGGTAAAAATAAGATCTACAACTTTATTTTTGACTCTGTCGGCTAATTCTCAACCGATCTTAAATTTAACAGTAAGAGGAGATTATACTATTAAATGACCGCAAAAAATTCGTAATGCTTTCATACGGACTCCGTTTTTGTCTGTCTTTTTATCGTTGAATTCCTATTAATGAGATCTTCAACTCTTATTTAGGTAGTGTAGGCCAAAAACCGCTCGATCTAAAATTAGAGTTTCGGGTTGTGCATTGCTATGCCAAATCTTAGAAAATTCATAACTTCCTCATACGAAGTCAAATTTAGGCATTTTTTAATGCACGCTCTCGGTTTAACGTATACTACAACTTTTTTTTAGATCACTAAGGCTAAAAAGTCCTCTATCGTAAATTCACTATTTACGCCTCCCGGTGCCGTGTCGGTTTTGCCGTAAAACTTCGACGGGCCATAACTTCTTCGTTATAACTCGGATTTTGGCATTCTTTATATGTACAGAACCATTGTAACATATACTACCACTTGGTTAAGATTACTCCTTCTAAATAATATTCCATAAATAACTCATTTTTTATGCTTATTGTCTCTGAATTGACTAGCCCGAATCTGTAGGCGTTACATTTGATTTCACTCTAATGTTGATAATATTTATACTATGGTTGATTTGGAACAATTTGGTTGTATTTTTCGGTGTTTGAAAAATGAAAATTTTTACTAACATTTTTTGATGTTTCAAAAAGAGGATTCGAGGTGGTTCGACTGACGAACATTAACCTAATTCAGCTAGTTGTCACAAAGGTTGATGTGAGTCCGTGCATTAGAGACGTCGACCGAACTCAAATTTCACGACCTCTTAGATTGCACCTTTAACGACATTGTACACCGAGTCCTACATCTCTTTTTAACATCTCCCATGGTCTCTCAAACTCAAAATTATGACCCATCTCCACTTGATATTACACTTTTGTGGCTTTAAAAAAATCGAAGTCATTGCCACTGCTTTCCTTTTTCGAATTGTAGATCGAGTTGAATTTGGTGACCTACTTGCTATTTTTTTCATTTACTACTTAGCATATTGGTGTTACAATATGCATTTTTTTTTCAACAAAGCATGAAATATTATGAACCCCACTTCCCAAAAAGCACTTTTCTTCATACCAATTCCTTTAATGTTATTTTTTGATGTCCGACACCACCCTTCTTCTAAAGCGTATTCCTCCTCCAACATCCACCAATGTGGACCTTCTTGATTGTCTCGGGTTTTCCCTTTTAATTCTGTTTTCCCTTTTCCTTTCCGACTACCTTCAACTTGAGTTTCAATAACAAATTATACAAATGGTCGTGTGGGTGAAAGAGTTAGTTGAAGGGTGTTTGTATTTAAAAGTTTGGTATAGAGGATGATATACCAAAAAACTTTTGTTGCAAATTTGATTGTTAGCCATAAACATTTTGTTCGAGTGTTGCACCATTTTTTGACTGAAGAGGTTTAAAAATTGAATAGAATAAAGAGAATGAAAAGAATAGTGTAAATAGAATTGAGTAAGATGACGTGTATGTTGGAATATTGTCTAAGGCTGCAACTATATTTGGTAACTATTTGACCCGATTGAGAATGATCCTTTTGGGTTGCCTTCACCATAACAACTTGACAGGATGATTTATAATGAGAGAAGAAATATTATGAGAAATATTATAAGGAATAATAATATTGTTATTTGATTAATATAAGTCATAAATTAATTAGGAATTAATTTGGTGACTTAAAGAGATTAATTAAATAGAAGGGCATAAACTGTCAAGTGTATGATAGTTGTACTTTGGGCTATAATCCCTTATGGATAAGTGGTGGACGGTTTTGGGGCTTAGGATAGACCTAGAATTCGTCCAAGGCTTATCATTAGGGTATTGGATTGCTTAGGGCCTAAGTTATCCAATTAGGGTTTAAGGGTGAAAGCCTAGGAGCCTTACAAGTATAAATAGACCCAAGGGGTTAAGGAAATCGGCACCCTTGTCACTAAAGGAACCCTGGCCGATTTCTTACTTCCCTTTCCTCTCTCTCTATAATCATCCTCTTGCTAGTTGGTGTTTGTAAGCCATTAGAGGAGTGACAATTGTGACTCTAAGCTCCAAGGATAAGAAGATTCAAGCAACTTAAGGTAATCTTCTAGATCTGTTTTTCTTATGTTATTACCTAGATCTATTATTCAAAAGTCTTGGATTCAATGCATGTTCAATTAGAGAAACCTAGATCCAAGCATTAGGGTTTGTATGTGCACATAGGAATGTTCATATGGCTAAAACCCATCAGTGTATTTATACGTAATTTGTTTTTTAATATTCGTTGTGTCAAGTTGGATTTTAGAAATGATGATGGTTTAATTTATAACATTAATTATAGTAATGACAAAGAGCCCCAAATTTTTGGTTCACTTAGAGCTCCTAAACTGGATGAGCCGTCATTGCCAATATTATTAATAATTATACCGAGGGGTGTGGGGGGTGAGGGGGGGGGGGGGGGTCCATGAGCCTCAAGGTCATTGAGGCTAAAGACCCGTATAAAACAACCTTATGTTTGAAAAATGCCAAAATTACAATACAACACAATTTTTTAAAAACCATGAAAAAGCTAAATGTGAACATATTAACCGAAAAACCGAATCAAAACCAAATTAACCGTAATAATTGAATCATTACTAAGAAAGGTAGTGCGGTTTTTATTTTTAATTAACCAAATGCACATGGTTTGGTTATGGTTTCATCCAAAATCAACCCACTAAAAACCAAACCGAACCAATACTATTAATAATTGTATAATATAATATAACATTAAATATATGATATGTAATTATATTTGGAATTAAAATTTTAAAAGGTAATTATTTGAATTGAATAAGATACCTACTCTTCTAGCATATTAATAAGGTTAAAAACATTGAATCCTTCATTTTTTACAACATTGTATTTATGTTTTCCAGATGTCATAGCAAATGATTTTTTATTTTTATCCTATTTTCGACTATTACAATTAACTACTATTAACCTTTAACCAACAAAAACCGTTCATCAAAATCATTATTAACCAATACTTAATGACTATCAAAATGCATTATTCATTTATAATGATTATGATTTAGTTTTAGCTAAAAATAAAACCAAACCGTTTCACAGAAAAAACTCACTTAAAAGAATATAACAATATCGGTGTACTTGATTATTTAAATGTATGTATGATCGGTTTCAATAAGTAATTACCAAAGCAGAAGTACATGATTTAATCAATTAAAATAAATCATAATTAGTAGAATATGCCGACATTATGTTTTAAGAAAAAAAATTTAGTTAAATATAAACATTAAAAAAATAGCACATTGTATAAACAAAAACATCAAAATAGAAAACAAGTTTACATAACCTGATTTTAATGGAATTCGGTCATATAAATTCATATGAAATTTCATATTATAATTTGATATAATGATAATTGTATGATATTATTAAAATATTATTTTAATGTAATATTTATTTTTTCAATAATGTCTACAAACAAGTATTATACCCAAATAATTACTTAAAAAAATATTTTCAATATCATTTTATGTATAGTTGAGATTGTTTATTCACTTGATGTGATTTGAAACAGGTAATGAGTTATTTTAAGTATTTGGATGAAATAAAATTAACACATATCGACTCATATAAGAATTTTGTTAAAGTTATTTTTCCATTACTTATTTATTTAAATAAAATTTTTTTGATAATTTATTTTCTTGTTACACAAAAAATATGGTTTGCCGACTATTAAAAAGAATTATACAATTATTACATTACATTTTGGTATTAGATAACATAATATAAATATTTTTTTAAAAAACCATTTTACAACCGTAATACCGCATAAATTAATAAATACTTAATCAAAAGACATCTTTTAATCATTATATGTTAAAAACCACAATTAAAAATGTATATGATTTTAGAAAATCATAACTATTTTACAAGTTTTGAATCCAAAATTCTAAAATAGTTAAATTATCTTGATTACAAATTTTAGAATATAATAATCTAATTATAATCAAGTACTTGATATTGTTTTTATTTTAGCCAAAAATAAAAACATTCTAATTTTTCACAACATTGAATAGTGGAAATAAATTATTGAAAATTGTGTGAAATGGAGGAGTAATTTAAAACTTTGCACTCACCGGTTTGTACAATTTCTTACACGAGAAGGGGGCAGCTAAAGAGCCCTCTCCATCTCCCTCTCCATCTCCCCCTCCCTCTCCTTCTCTCTGCAATCTATAACAAGAGAGATCTTCTTCTGCTGTCAACCATTACACATAAATCTTCTTCTCTTCCATCGCCTCTCTTTCTCTCCCTTCAATCTTCATCATCTAACACGAAAAAAGACTCGTTTTATATAACTATAATCATCAACACTGAATTGCCGAAAGGGGGCGTCGCTCGCCCTCTCATCTTGTTTCTTATGCCTCTAATCAGATCTTAGATTTTCGATCGCTTTTGTTACTTGGTAAAATCACCACGACTATAACAATCATGGGTTGTTGATATTTTTCATCAATTTTACAGTTTTCGATCCTAAAATCACAAACTTTATTCTCGTCTTGTAGGACTTGTGCTTTTGTGTGTTGATCAAGTATCGATCTGTGGGAGATCCGATGCTTTTTGATTGATTCCAAGAATACCCATTTCTCAGTTACAAAGAATCCGCAAACTTTCTGGTAGATTTCTTACAATTTCAACGTTTTTATGTGTTGTTTTTAGTTAATCTACATCCTGATGGGTATGAAGATAAGGCTTTTGATTAATGAACTCAAAGAATCTGACATACATATGCATCTAGGTGCTGTGTTATATATGGTTTTGATGAGATCTGTGTGTTAGGATCCTTTTGAAGTCCATCTAATTTACTTGATGAAATTCTCGACTTGAAACTGAATCATCGATTTGATTTTGCAGAATGGAAATGGAGCATGGGAAGCTGTTCATCGGTGGAATCTCATGGGACACAAATGAAGAACGATTGAAAGAGTATTTCGAAACTTTTGGTGAAGTAATTGAAGCCGTAATTATGAAGGATCGAACCACAGGTCGTGCCCGTGGGTTCGGTTTTGTTGTTTTCTCTGACCCTGCTGTTGCTGAAAGAGTCGTCAAAGAAAAACACACCATTGATGGTAGAACTGTAAGTTTTCTCTGTTTTTTCAATCGTGATTTATTGTTATAAATTATAATCTCACCTTTCAACGATTCTTCTTATAACTAAACAGATTGTAAATCTACTAAAACTATTGCATTGCTCATGTCGTCAATCATTATAATTTTGGATGTGCGATTTGAAATTCATTACAATCAGTTTAGTAGAGAAACAACAGAGTAAAATTACTCTTATACTTCCATTTTACCCTTATTCTATTCACTCTTAAACGCAAGAAACAGCAATGTACATTCATTTACACTTTCATCTCTTCTTCTTACAAAGCAGTCGACAATGTTTAAATTAACATAAACAAATTCACATCCATCGTTACATAATTCTGATCCCGTTTATTCAATTTCAATGTTTAGGTGGAAGCAAAAAAGGCAGTTCCAAGAGACGATCAACAAATCCTGAACAGAAGCAATGGGAGCATTCAAGGTTCACCGGGTCCCACACGAACAAAAAAGATATTCGTAGGAGGATTGGCATCATCAGTAACTGAAAGCGATTTCAAAACCTATTTTGACCAATTTGGAATAATCACTGATGTGGTTGTGATGTATGACCATAATACCCAAAGGCCAAGAGGTTTTGGATTCATCACATATGATTCAGAGGAATCAGTTGATAAGGCGTTGCTTAAAACATTCCATGAACTGAATGGGAAAATGGTGGAAGTGAAACGAGCTGTTCCAAAAGAATCTTCTCCTGGACCTAACCGTGGTCAGAGTCAGATAAGTGGTGGGTTTAACTATGGTTTAAGTAGGGCTAGTAGTTTTCTTAACGGGTATACTCAGGGTCAGGGGTATAATAGTCCAAGTTATGGTGGAAGAATGGATGGTAGGTTTAGTCCTGTGACTGTTGGGAGGAATGGGTTTCCGCCTTTTAGTCCCTCCACCTATAATAATTTAGGCCTCAATTCCGATTCCATTTTGGGTATCAATTATGGAAATGGAAATGGAAATGGAAATGGAAACTTTGGGTCTAATCTTGGATACCCACGTGCAATTAGTCCTATGTATGGTGTGGGTTCGAATAGGTATGGTGATCCGATTGGGTATGGCGGCAATGGCGGCGGTGGTGGTGGTGGTGGAAATGGTTCTGTTTTGAACTCGAACCATAGCATGTGGGGGAATGGAAGCCAGTCTTTTGCTACAAATTCTTCTCCAAATCTAAGCAACTTTTTGGCTCCGGGAAGTGCATCTGGCGGGATTGGAGCGATTTGGGGAAATTCCGGTGGTGGTGGTGGTGGTGGTGGTGGTGGAAATGGTGGTTTTATTGGTGGTAATCTTGGGTATGGAAGTGAAGAGAGTGGTATTGGGTATAGGAGGAACAATGGTAATGGTATTACACCAGGCTATTCATATGGTGTGATTGATGATGGTGAAATTGGTGGTGGTGGTGGCGGCGGTTCGTTTTATGCTGACTCCACCTGGCGGTCGTCTTCGCCGGAGCTGGAAGTGCCTGGTTTGTTTGGATATAGTCTTGGAGGTGGAGCTTCGGATGATATGCCAAAAAACTCAGTTGGCTATGTTGGTTATAGTGTGACAAATAGATCAAATAGAGGTATGTTTTTTTCTTTCAACTTTTAACTCTTATTTCTTTTTGTTATTATTATTATTATTATTATTATTTTGTGATGAAGATGTAAGTTCATAAGTTGCATTTAATCATATAAAGAATTGTCTTGCGAATATTTCAAGGAAAAACAACAGTTTCTTTGCGTCTATCTTTCTTTCACTGATTTAGGTCTAAAACAATTTTTTTTTTTTTTAAAATTTTGTACCTATGATTTATGTCAGATTAATGGTCAATCACTTTCCTTATTTTCTCCTTATTTGAGAAAATAAGGTTTAACTTGGGTTTGCTTTATATACAATCTATATATAAATATATAATTGTTTTTTCCTTTGACTTTCTTTATTAAGTTTTTTTTTCTTGTATTAAATTAAAAAGAAACACCCATATATAATATAGTTTTCTCCAACTTTCAGAATCAACTCATATTTTCAATGACATTGTTTTATTAAGTCGGTACTTTTTTTTTTGTTGTGATTATATGATTTTCAGGAATTGCTGCCTAGGAAAAGGTATCTGGAGATGTGAAAAGTTATGAAGATTGGAGGATTGATTGTGAATTTATTATAAAAAAAAAAGTTACAGCTGCGTGAGTGGGAGGTAAATCAGTTTTTAGAACACCGTAAATTTGGTTAGAGCTAATCGAAGCACCTGTTTTATACAACACATTACACGATTTGGTTCCTGTTTTTTTTTTTTTTTTTTTTTTTTTTTTTTTTTTTTTTTCTTTCAAAATAGGCTTTCTGAATTCTCAGTTCATATGAGATTGGTAAAATCAAGATATATGGAAAAAAATGAAAAAAAAAAAATTAATTTTTATTTCTATTTTTAATTGGTTTTTGTGTTGCTATTGGAAAACCCAGGAAAAAAAGGTGTAGTTTTTTGTAAGGTATTTGATGCCCATGTTGGGGTTTTGTTGTTGATTAGATTTATATGAAATGTTTGGTGTGAATTACTTTTGTTGGATGCTAAAATGGGATCCCTTTGACAATCAAGTTACTTTATATTCAATATATTTGTCTATTCTTATGGTTGTTTTTTTGGAAAATTTCTATAATTGCTCATGTTTTAGATTTTAGTACACCGTATTCCACCTTTTTTTGTCAATTCAAATCACGATAGTATTTGCTTGTTTTGTTGCATGTTGATCTGGTTGTTAAAATGGACATTATTAAGTTTAAAACAATGGTAAATGCTTATAAACTATTTTGTTTTTCATAAAATATCGTTGATTAAGTAATTAACTGGAAGTTTATACTCACAAAGTACCATTATTATGATGATTTTCAATGATAATTTGTGAAAAATATAAATAGATGGTTACCATTATATATATAATGATAGTCTAAAAGTATAGATAGTATGGTATCCATTTATGGCATTAATCCTTAAAAACCAAGTTTGCATAAGTCCTGAAAATATAAATTAACTTAATATAGCTGGGTGTTTCACCTTTATCCTTTTTAATATTTTAAAGACCTGATTGAACCGGTCGTTGATGAGAGCGGTTCAACAATGGCTAGTTTTATGATCATTTTTAAATTTAATCGATTTAGATGGTTTCTTAAAAAATCATGTTGAAACGAATCGATTAAAAAATGTTTGAATTGGTTTATTGAACTTTAATAGTTGTATTTAACATAGCCTGTTAAAAAACAACTAATTTTCAAAGCAAATTGAACATTTTGATTGCTTACGTTATCCGGATTGTATACAATTCGAAAAGCGACAAACCATTGCTAGATGTAACCCTATCGAAATTACCCGATATTAGAATTACCCGTCTGATTTTTTTGGTTAATCGGGTAACCCGATTTTTTTTGCGGTCGGGTAAAATGGTATATTTTTTTGGGTTTCGGGTATACCTGAATTATTTAAAAAATTCATTTTTTTGTACATCTTGTAGTATATAACAGATATTTGATCACGTTTAAATATGAATCTTTTTATTAAGATAATATGACACTAATAATATTAAAAGTAATTGTTTATATATCATTATGTTTTTTAAAACTTAACTGTTTTATAGATTATAGTTTTTATTGTAACTAACAAACTTATTATCTTGACAAAACTTTATAACATGTTAAAATTTATAGCTACAATTATCTTAAATATTTTAAACTTTTAAATTAAGATTTTTAAGTATTTATTTTTCTAACATCTTATTAGATTGGATTAAGTTGTTAAAAAATTACTTGATCTCAGGTATTATTAACTAAAAAATTTCAATGTTCAAAGCTTGAGTAACTTCGTTTATGTATCGTTTGTTTATATAAACAAGACCAATAAAACACAACATATTTATTTCATTAAATTTATTTTCAGGTGAAATTCAAAAAACAAAATTATATATTTCGGGAAATACCCGAATTACCCAAACCCGACCCGATACCCGAATTACCTGAATTTATTTTGGGTCGGGTAACATGCATTTTTTTTAACATGAAAAACCCGAATTATCCAACCCGAATTACCTGAAACCCGGAAAAATTACCCGATCAATACCCCTATCTAGATGTAGGAAATTCATAGTTTTATATATAAGAATGTAGGTAGGGAATAGAAAATACATAAAAGTTATGGAAATGGGTTTGAATATGAAACTAGTTATATAGACCGGTTCAATTAAAGTATTCATTAACTTTAAACAAAAAAAATATAAAAAATGTATTATTTCAATTAAAAAACATAAACCTAAAAAAACTGAAATAAAATCATATAGTTTTGGTTGTTGTTCATTGTTTTAAAAATATGATCCACCAAACTTGATCATAAATTATGATGTGTTACTTTGTTATGTAATTTGACCGATGATTAGCTTGGTGACATTGTTGATCGTTCTCCGATTCTTCATGTCTAGATTGAATACATTTTGGCTTTGTCTTTTACAATTATATTATGTATCATGATGTCCGTATAACGTCCCAAAAATCAAAGGTAAAATTTTTATTTTTAAAACAATAAATCATACAATCGAGTTGTTTCAAAACCAATTAAAGTGAATATATTATTTAAACATCAAAGTAATATCATTAATTGCCAATGTGGAAAACTTTAGGGATGTTGTGCAGTTACGTCGGACCCTTCCCTTTCGAACCGAAAGTACCTGAAACTATAAATATGAAATTGTAAACACAAAGCTTAATGAGTTCCCCAAAATACCACATACCAAAACATACAAGTGTCATAGGTTACTCCTATGGTGTTTCCTTCCAATGTCGAGGGCTAAATCCCTGTCTTACATACAAGTGTTAGGGGCTGATCTTGGTCTTTCATACAATTGTCAGACGCCAGATCCTAATCTTTTATATAATTGCCAGGGACCAGATCCTGGTCTTTCATTCAATTGTTAGGGGCTAGATCATGGTCATTCATGCGAGCATCACAGAGACAACTAGCATTCCACATAAAAAGTAATGGATCGGCGTTGGTGCCTTCGACCCATGGATATAATGAGAAAACTCACCTCACGGTCCGAAAGAATAGCTGCACCGATCACTACTCTAAAAGTTATCTCTATCGATCACCTATACAATTAACAGGAACCCAAATCTCAAACTATAAATCAAATTACCCAAAATGCCCTTAGGTTAAATTTGGTCAAAGTTAAATGTAAACGGAGTCGACCGGGTCAATTCAGTTGAGTACGTTGGGTGTACTCAACACGTACGCGGGACGTACTATGCCTTGACCAGAAGTCGAGGGGTTGACCACGTACATGCAACGTACCCTTTGGTACGCCCAGCGTACGTGACTACAATCCTCCAAATCCATTAAGAGCTTAATCGTTTAAGCTATTTCGTCAAAAATCAATATCTAACCCTCAAATGATATCCTTAAAAATAAAGTTTCCAACTTTATGGTCTTGCATGGATATTAAGTCTTCAACATCCAAAAACCGCAACTTCTTAACCCATTAAGATATCTGAGACCATGCATGAACGAAAACTAGGGACCAAGGTCACATTTTTATGGTTCCTAATGACTCCATAATCAGGGGCAGAGCTTCAACATTTGATTTTTTTTGGAGGGGGGGGGGATATAATATATATAAAAATCGGTGAACAGGGGGGGGGACAACCAAAATTTTACATTTTTGGGCCTAATATTTATAAAATTAAAGTATACGGGCTACTTATAACCAAAAAATCAGGGAGCTGTTCCTAATAAAGCTTTGCCCTTGTTCATAATGGATAACGCTTCCAACTTTATCCATTAGAATAGTCCCAACAAACAAGATCTAGTCTTTAAGTCTTAAAGGGACCAAACATGCATCTTTTTCAACTTAATCCATTGAAAGTCTCCAACCTTTAGATTTGAATCAATATGATGTTTAGATGGATAAAGTTTCCAATTTTATCCATACAAGGTCACAAACTTTCAAGTTCTAAACTTTATTCACTTAAAGTGTCCAAAAGTTCATAACACCCAAAACTAGCTAGATCTAACAATTTCATCATCAAGATTCAAACTTTATACCACCAAAAGAAAGATCAAGGTGAACACGATCTGGATCTACAAGCTCCAATGCAACCAACGCTTCTTCAATGAGTTCCTTTTTTCTCCATGGTGCACCAAGAACACTCCAAAGCACTTAAAAACACATTCTTTTTGCTCACAAGGCTCAAACTAGGGTTAGGGTTTCAAGAGAGGGTGTTGGGAGAGGTGGAGGCTAAGAATGAAATGGGTTCGGGGAAGTTAAGGAGCTTAAATAGGGCTCAAACCACGAAAATAGGTTTTGGGCACTGATCGCGTACGCCCAGCGTACTAGGGATGCCCTAGTACACCCAACATACTCCCCTTATGCCCAACGTACGTGGCTAACCCAAAAATCATCCTAACTTCAAACGGTCATAACTTCTTCGTTTCAACTCCGATTTCGATGATCTTTATATGCATGGAAAGGTATTAAGGAGCTATACAACCGTATATAATTACTTTTGACTTCAAAAACATCAAACTAAAACCCATAATTCATAACAGAAGTCTGAAACATTACTTTTCCCATTTTGACCTTTGACTCCAAAGGACAAACCGAACTCTCGGATCACATAATCTACATTACCCAAATCCAAATGGGTCTAAACCTTTATTTCCCGAAGCCCGAAGCCTTATGATATGTAACACTCTAAGTTTTCAAACATTTTTTTTCATTTTTAAATCATATAAAATAAGTATCACATTTTCTCAAAACCCCAATGTATCAAATGTTAAAAACACTATTCAACAAAACAACTGATAATATCCTAGAATCCTCATCATAGTCTCGAACAAGTGTGTACAATCAAGTCAATGCCTTCCTACGATCCTGACAAATACCTAAAACACATAACACATAACACGGTAAGCACGAAGCTTAATGAGTTCCCCAAAATACCACATACACAAATAATAAGCCTCTCATGGCTATACCTCGGCACAGACCCTCCAGTCTCATGCATCTCGGTGAGGACCCTTCGATCTCACGGCTCTGTATGGACCCTCCGGTCTCATAACTTGGGTTGGACCCTCCAGTTCTATATCTTAGTGAAGACCCTCCAGTCTCACAACTCGGTTTGGACCCTCCGGTCCTAACTCAGTAAAACATAGAATAATATATAATATATCACAAAGACAAATACATAATATCATATAACTCAGTATAAGCACATAGGACCCTCCATCCGATAACTCAAATAAGACCCTCT